CCCACTGTTTGCTGTGCGTCTTGCAGCGTGGTGTCCGCTGGTCACCTTCCGAAGTTTGAGGGAGCTCCCCCGTGTTGGTGGGTGGTGGGAGGTTTGGGGTTACTGGTGGGGACACGACGCCCCTGTGCAGAACAGCCTGGCGCCCAGGAGGTGCTCAGTCACAGGGTGCTGTCCACCCACCCAAGCAGGCTGGGCTCGGAAAAGCAAAGCCCTGCCCGCGGGCCTCTTGGCTTCACTCTGTGGGGTGTGGGAACCCGGGACCCCAGCAGGAAAACCAGGGCTGCTGAGACAGCAGGCCAACCGGGTCTTGGGGACCCAGCTTCACCGGCACCCTGGAAGCCTGGGGGCAGATGCGCCCTCCCAGATGCAGAGACCTGGAGGGCCCAGGCTCCCTCAGCTGCCCCACTTCGTTCTGCCTTTGGTTTCAGGGAGAGCCCTGCACCTCGGGGGACACAGGGCAAGGTCGGACGTGGCTTTCCTTGCTCCAGGACAAGCCCTCTTCTCAGTTCAAAGGTGTCCTCCCTGGGCCTGAGATGACCGCAGGGCAAGGGAGGGAGAACAGGGCGCAAGGGGCAGCGGCACAGGGGTGGCCGGCCACCAGGTCTCGCGGGAAGTGGGCAGCGGAGCGGGGCTTCTCCTGCCCCACGCTGCTCCTCCCAGGATGCGCTGGGGACGGCCGGGGCTGTTCCCAAATTTTCAGGATGCCTCTAGCCCAGTTATGCCATCGCTCTGAAACGAGCGCCGCGCACCGCGGTGCTGCTTCCGCTACCCCCTCGCATTCGTGCGGCAGCGACTGTTGCTGACAGTTCTCCCGAGGAGAGGAATGCCCAGCAGGTTGGTACTGTACGTCCAAGAAACCGGAACAGCTCATCAAGCGTGAGTGTTTCACAAAAGCTTTATTTGTGGTCACATCTACGGCTGTCATCTCAGTGTACAAACAGCTCACAGCTGAGTCCAGCACTTCTAGTACAAGTCGTATAAAACCGCGGACACGTGGCATGAAGAGTGCACTTGATAAAAAAAATAAATTACACTTTAAAAGCTACTGCAAAGCTTTACACAGATAAAAAGTAAACACAAAATAGTTAGTGAGGTCCTTGTAACTGTCTTTCGTATCCAGCTATGACGATCCAAAGAGCGGGGCTCTGTGCCCGAATGCCTCTCCGACAAAGAGAAACCTGGACCGTGCCCGAGCTGGTGTCCGCACCACGGTGACACAGGGGTCCCCGGACACCACGTCTCAGAGCTGGAGACGAGCACAGCTCCGCACCTGCGACCTCGGCCCAGCCGGCTCGGGGCAAATCTCTGTGAACCAAGCAACGTCCCTCATCCTGGAGGCTAACAGGTAGCAGGAGCTTCCTGCTTTCTTCTGACCGCTCAGGAGCCGCAGCGTCCACACGGTGAGCGCAAAAGAGAACAAATGATATGGCAGTGTGTATTATGCACTAGAGGTCTCCATGTTTCAAGCAACCAAAAGGCTGAGGGCTAGATGCATCAGAAGTGCGGAGACCTGGCGGCCTTTGGGGACGGAGGCCAGGCCTGCCCTGGCCCACACGTGAGTGAGGGTGCCGGGGCCTCCCAAAGCCAGTCCGCCCGCAGAGCCCATCCGAACACGGGCCGCGCACAGCCGGGCCCTCACCAGCCTTGCTCCGGACACAACTGCCTGCTGGCCCACCCTCGAGGAGAAGCTGAGGCCCTGGCTTCTCTGGGGCCTGACTCAGAACAAGAGAGCCTTTCCTGTGTCAGTGGCTGCCACACAGATCTGCTCTCAGAGGTGTTTGCAGTGACCCTGGCGCTGGTCTGAGAGGAGACAGGCAGGGCGGCCAGAGCCGAGACACAGGAGGGCAAGCAGTCAGGATGCAGGGCTGCCCCGGGCTCCACCTCACCTGCCACAGAACACGTGTGGCCGCGCACGCACACACATGTAAAGACAAAAGCCTAGTAGACTAGAAGACACGTTCTTAACGAGATTTTTTCTTAAAACATCAACGTCTTAGACAAGCAGCTAAGGGTACGTCTAAATTTATCAAGATCAAAGGAATCTAATCACTCTGTTGTTCACCAGGGTTTCCTCAAGGGCAGGAATAAAAGGGCGATGAACCCTTCCTGTGTACACAAAGGGGACACTACGACCTCTGTGAGGTCCCCGAGAAACAGGATATTCCACAAGTTCTGAAGAGGAGTCTAGGGGAGAAAACCAACACCTACCCAGCTCATTGTAAGCCCCCAGGGCCAGCTCTCCCTTCCCTGACCTTCCCCGGCCAGGACCTAAAGCCAGCTGATCTGAGCTTCCGCCCTTTCCACTCCCCACCCACCAAGACAGAGGCGGCAGCAGGGTGCCCCCCGCAAACCATCAGAAAGCGCAGACCCTTGCGGCAACAGCAAGAGGACACACGCAGCCCCCCCAACCTGAGCCCCTAAACCTGCTCACAGCCGCAACTCCATCATCCCGGCTCCTAGTGAGTTAGCAGAGCGAAAGCTGGTTCTGGAAAACCTGGAAAGAAAGTGACACAGAGCTGAGCCTGTGGCTCAAGCAGGCTCCTGTCATTTCTGCTGAACAGCTCTGTCAGCTCAGCTATAAACCCGTCGTCCTGCTCCTTCCAAATACGTGCTCGTCCCTCCTGACTGGATCCAACACGGCCAGGCCTCTCCTGATAGCTACACTGTCCTACTGCGTGGGAGCCTCTCTAGACACAGAGAAACTTCCCGCCCAGCCAGCCACCGTTTAGAACAGCCACTGGGCTGTTTCAGCTCATCCGGGGACCAGAGCTGCACTCAGCCGGTCGAGTAGTTCCGATGGGCAGGAAGACGCTAAGATCTTCTGTCACTAGAAACCGTGCCGAGGGCCAGCGGCCTGCAGGGCTGCACAGCGAGATGCCCTCCCCCAGTGTCACCGCCTGTGTCCTGGTCCAGAGCCACCGCATCCTTCCCTGACTCACACCTGCTGCTCCCCCTGCCCCACCTGCCCCATTCTCAGGTCAGCGGAACAGGGTGAACATTACAGGCACCCAGGGACGGCTCCCGCAGCAGACAGGAAGGGAAAGGTCTACCTGACAGGTATCTATTCTGTCAGGGCTTATTCATTAAAGTATTAATTTCCATATGTACCATTCTTGCCAGGACATGAGACAGAATTTCCTTTCACCTTGAGATTCAAATGCACTGTAAGAAAGACCCTATCGATATTCTGACTGGCAAGAATACAGGTACCTGAAGACACAAAGCTTACGGAGTATTTTCAACAACTTAATTCCAAAATCTAGAAAGCTGCTCTGTGACCAGAAGCACAACCTTAACCTTCTACCTTCAGGGTCGCTGGTGTGCTGAAAACTCGATGTCCAGTCCAGCATGTCCCAGGTCAAGTCCCTGGTTCTAGGTGTCATTAGAGCTGCGAGAAAATCTGTTTGACAATTCCGAAGTGGCACGAGCTCCCCCAACGAAATCCACGAGCTTAGGATAACAGCTAAGGGGAGACAGCCAACAAGAAGTGCCAACTGTCTTTCCTTCAGCAGAACTGTTTTGTGAAAAAGTCGTTTCCAATCTCTACGGCCCCCTGGGAACAGCACAAGATTAAGATCCCAGGGCTTTCCAGTCAGACAAGAGTGTGCGTTTGCCTGAGCGCGATTATGTTACAGGGAACCCAGGACCATCCAGAACATGGAGTTTTAAAGACCTGAAAACTGGATGTTCTTTTATGGTGGACAGCAGACACTAACACTCAGTTACGTGCACACTGCAGGGCAGCAGACCAAAACCAAATTCCAGGAGGGAGTTTAACATCAGCCCTTGGTAACAGGGATTCACAACAACTTTACCAACGCGATTTCCAGATCACCCTCATTCCCCACAGCAACTGAGGCTTCCTTTACGCAGTCCAAAGTTCTGAAGCTAAAACAGTGCTTCTCTGGGTGTTGAAATTCTTTTCTCTATTTTCTATAATGAGCATATACTACTTTAACATCCAGAATTCTTTGTACAGACGGAAAGTAATGAGGAAATTCTAGAGAACCCTTTTTAACTAACACAAAATCCCTAACATTCTTTCAGTACTTGCACTTAGTTTCAGACATGAACCCCCTCAACCCAATTCCCTATTTCTGTCCTGGCATTTTTTTTCCTTCAGTTTACACCATCTGAATTTATTCAGCTTACATTAAAAGGAAATGGAGCCTACGTCCAAACGGGGACCTGGAAACTACTGTGCTCTCCTTCGCCGCCTGAGCCGACCTCGGCCTTCAACCCCACGCAGCCCAGGGAGCCGTGTGGACGCCTGGAGGTCTCTGCGGCCACCCCGCCCCTTCCAGGCCGAAAGCTACAGGACGCGCGTGTGCTCCACGCAGGTGTGCTTCCCGAGGGACGGCTGGGCTGAAGAACTGTTCCGGGCAACTGATTCCTCTGTAATTCTTCTCAAGGTCTACCTTAGCTTGATGTAAACTTGGAGTATTAAGATAGGCAGTCCAGCAAAAAGTCAAAAGTATGGGAGACATCTGAAAACCCTCTGTATTCTAAAAACCTCTCTTTAGTAATAATTAATCTACCTCAATTCCTGACTTCCAGGCAACGCACAGAATGGTACAATTTCTATAGCAGGCATTCAGATCAAGGACACTCACCCTGACACCAGAGAGAATTAACCTTCCCATGGCTGCTGGCCACCAGGGACGGCCCACCCAGGGGGGCGTCATGAACAGTCCCAACCACTGGGCGGAGCAAAGAGCTCGGAGGAAACCACAGGGAAAGGGATTCCCCGTGGCAGGAATTCACAACTTCAAACGAAATGAGAGAAAGTAAAAGATCATGGACGCTCACTTGGGCTAAAGTGTAGTGTAATTACACCCTTCCAGTTGGACGGAAATGTAACTGCTTTTTTCACAGAGGTGGAGTCACACCCGGGTGAGCTCTTTTACCCACAAGTGCAGAACCAGCTCCAGCAGAAGCGGACTCCAGGACGGACGGCTGGAGGGCCCGGCCTCGGGTCACAGGTGAGGAGTGGCCGCCCCTCAGAGCTCTGTTGTCAGCAAACACTTCTGCTTCAAGGTGGCTTCTCCAGCAGAGGCTGGAGCCGAGCTGACAGGAAGAAAGAACACATTACTCACTTTTTGGAAAATGCAAAGAAGACCATCCAAGGCGGAAGCGACCTGCGTTTCTCCCAAGCGCCTCGCGGAGCATGCAGAGAGTAAAGAGGGGTGTGCAGTAGCACTTAACGTAGGCGATTCCACAGAGGGTCATTTTCTAGATAACTGATGCTTATTCCATCTTGAGATGGAACCTAAAGACATCAATTTCCCCTGCTTCCTTGGATAAAATACACCGAACAGACACCTCATTTCTTTTTTCTCTCTTTTTTTTTTTTGTGGTACGCGGGCCTCTCCCTGTTGTGGCCTCTCCCGTTGCGGAGCACAGGCTCCGGACGTGCAGGCTCAGCGGCCATGGCTCACGGTCCTAGCTGCTCCGCGGCATGTGGGATCTTCCCGGACCGGGGCACGAACCCGCGTCCCCTGCATCGGCAGGCGGACTCTCAACCACTGCGCCACCAGGGAAGCCCGACACCTCATTTCTTGCTGAGCCAGGGCTGTCACAGAACACGGTGGACAGGGCTGTGCTGAGCACCATGGCAACACGTTCGGCAAGCACCAGGGCCGGGGGTCCTGTGTGTGCTCACGCGGCGCCCGCGGTGGCTCTGAGCCCCGCACTACCTCCTCTGCTGCGTCAGAGGCGAAGCAAGAGTATGAGTGCGCCGCTCCGCCGCAGGGCAAGGGCGTGCGCGGAGGTGCAGGCTTCAGGGAGACTGAAAACGATACCGAAGTCCCAAGGCCAGAGGTCAACATCGTTGATGTGCTATCAAGACGTGTGAACGAAACAGCTGTCACTGGAACCCCCCCTTCCGCGTTTCCACTCCACAGAGACGACACTGCCGACTGGATTTTCCTGGTACTTCCCTTCTTGTTCTGGATCCCTGGTTCTCAAAGCATGGTCCTGGAACTTGTCATAAATGCAAGTTCTTAGGCCTCGCCCCTGGCCCACTGGCCCAAAGCCTCAGGACAGCCCAGTGCCTGTGCTCTAACAAGCCCTCCAGGCGGGCCTGCCAGCTGCCGTCCGTCCTCACTGTTCTCAGGGGGGTGTTTCCACAATGACACACAGGCCTCCCTAATAGCCAGCGTCTGCTATAATTACATAAATATTTCCACAGCTCACTATGGGTGTGTCGTGTTTCTTTGCTTTTACAATTTGTTTTGTCGTTGTAACTGCTTGCTCGGCGTCCAACACTTCGTTTCTAATTTATCCCTAACCAAACGCAACGAGGCTTCTGGTCTCAGGTCCCTTTGTAAAGTTGGGCACAGGCCACATGTTGTTTGTTGTCCCTTGGCTAACGCCCTTCCTGGGGCTCCACAGCCTCCCCTTCCTATCTGTGCAGGAGCCTTCCTAGGCCGGCTTGGAGCGCCCCTTCACTCTCCTCCTGGTAAATTCCGGCACCTGTTTCTTGGGTGCCCCGTTTTCTTTCCTGGACAGTCACCTTGTTTTGATGGCACACATCCTGCACTTAAGTAGCTTCCTGAGGAAGGCCACCTTAGAAGCATGTATTTTAGAGAAACTCCACGTTTTAAAATGTCTTCATTTCTTTTTTTTTTTTGGCCACGCTGCACGGCTGGCAGGATCTTACCAGGGACTGAACCCGGGCCCTGACAGTGAAAGCACCGAGTCGCAACCACTGGACGGCCAGGCAACTCCCTACAATGTCTTCATTCTAATCTCACACTTCACTGATAGCTTGGGTACAAAACATGAGGTGAGAAATGATTTTCTTCCAGAATTCTGAAGGCATTGCTCCGTTATCCTCTAGCTCTCAGTAAAGCCTAATGCCATTCAGATCACCAGTCCTTTGTATGAACTCTTTTCCCCCTCTCTGAAGACTAATATCCTCTCTTATGTTCTGAAACTTCACGATGTTCCTTGCTGTTGTCTATTTTCATTCTGTTACTGGATACTCACTGGGCTCCTTTAATCTAAAAACTCAAGTGCTTCTGTCCTGGGAAGTCTTGATTTCTTTCTTGGACACTTTTATTTACTGTGTTCTTTCTTCTGGACCTCCAATGATTCACATAGTGGACTTCCTAGACCAATCTCCAATGTTCTTTTCTCTCCCAATTTTCAACTTTTGTTCTACATTTTTGGGGATTTCCCCAATCTCACCTTCCGTGCATCCTTTGAATTTTATTTTTAACATGGTTAATAACTTCCAAGAACACTTTATTTTCTATTCCGTCTTTAATTCCCTGTTATTGCTGCATGGATGCAGTATCTTCGTTCTCACACTGTCACTTCGCAAAGTTTTTGACGCTCACATTCCTTTATTTCCTCCCTGTTTCTTTTTCAAGTTGACCTGCTCTGGTGTTCCCTCAAACATCTGACAATCTTTGGCTCTGTTCACATTTAAGAGGGAAGCAGCATGCTCACACTTGAGCATGAAGTGCTGGAACGCTGTCTGAAAGCTGTGCACGTGTGGGCAAAATCCACTAACTACGGGCTTCCAAGTCGAGGTACCAGATTCCCTGTGATCCACAAATGTCAGTCTCTCTGGGCCTTTTTCTTCACTCAGTCAGGTTCTCTAGAGAGCAATCCTCTGAATTTCTCAACTGAGACATTTATACGTGGCCCACAGCATTCTGGAGGCTGGAAACAGAAGGAAGGCTGGGGGTCTCACCCCTTGGTGTGTGGACACTGAGTTAACGCCCCCCCCCCCAGCTCAGGGCCCCAGCTCCTCCAGAGGGGAGCCTCCAGAGTCAGGCCCGCATCGGCGGGGCGGGGATGGGGAGTGTCTGAAGGGGCACATTCGCAGCCCCACCTCCGACCCACCTTCCCAACACTTGGTGCCTCAGCTCCTGAGCCAGTCCGGGTGCTAGAGCATGGACCGGCTTCGTATTTTCCCAGTTTCCACCCCCTCCCCTTTTCAGGCTTAGATCTCAGCTTTCTCCTCTCTGCCAAGCTGGTCACCACTTATCTGTCATTTAGCTGCTCCTAAAACTTGCTCAGTAATCTCAACTGCTGCTGTTTCCTCTCCTGTTCTTTTTTTTTTTTTGCGGTACGCGGGCCTCTCACTGCTGTGGCCCCTCCCTTTGCGGAGCACAGGCTCCGGACGCACAGGCTCAGCGGCCATGGCTCACAGGCCCAGCCACTCCGCGGCATGTGGGATCTTCCCGGACCAGGGCACGAACCCGTGTCCCCTGCATCGGCAGGCGGACCCTCAACCACTGAGCCACCAGGGAAGCCCTCCTCTCCTGTTCTTTAACTTTAAAATAAAATTTACACAGCGCACACCCCAAGTAAATCTGAATCTGTACAGATGCAACCCCATCATCATTCTTTTAAAAACATGCTATTGATTATAACATACATACGCTGAAGTGCACAAATCAGGAGTTGTAAGTTGAGGACCCTGTGCACACTGACCACACCTTGTGCAATCAGCACGCAGAATGAGAAACAGAAACTCACTAGCACTCTGAAACTAGCCACCTCCAGGGTAACCGTTACTCTGGTCTCTGAGAGCTGTGCCTCTTTCCCATCATGGGGAGGAGACTCTAAGATGACCCCAATGACCCCCTCCTCCCCCTGAGCATGGCAGGCCCTGTGGTCTGTTCTAACCAATGCAAATGAGCAAAGCTAACAGTAGGCTGTCACTCCGTGATTACAGTATACAGATGGTGACCTCTGGCCGGCTGGCAGGCGTCCCACCGCCTTCCTGGTTTGCTGGCTCTGCTGAAGTAAAGGCCCCAGGCAAGTAGCGAGGGCAGCGCGGCCCGGAGCCAGCCCTCAGCGGGCAGCCCCTCAGGAGCTGAATTCCGCCAATGGCCATGACTGCAGACCCTCCGCCAGCTGACCCTTCACATGAGAGGCCAGCTCCAGCTGACTCCCTGAGTGGAGCCTGGGGGAGACCTGCAGCAGAGGGCACAGCTAGGCTGTACCAGACCCCTGACCTGCAGGGAATGGGGTGTAAGCCGCTAAACGTGTGGCGATCTGTTACAGATCAATAAATACCTCATGTAACTGTGTGTGCGCGACTCATCTGCATCTCTCTACCGCAGTTACAGTTCGTTAGTTTTCACTGCTCTAGTCCAGTATTTATCTAGTTAACTGCCAGTGGGCTTTTAAAAAGTCTTCAGCTTGGGCTACGATGAACACAGCTGCTGTAAACATTCCTGTACATGCCTTCTGATGGACACATATGTGTATTTCTATTGGGTACACATGTAAACGTATTTTCAGCTTTCGTAGATACAGCCAAATCTATGTCCAACACGGTTATTTCAAGTTACAGTTTCAGTTGCCCCATAACTTCACCAATACTTGATACTATGTGTATTTTCACTTGAGCCATTCTAGGTGTACGCAGTGGTATCACATAGTGGTCTGAATTTGTATTTCTCAATAACTTGTCAAGATGGGCCATCTGGATACCCTCCTGTGAACTGCCTATTCAACTCTTTTGCCAATTTTTCTATTGAGCTCTCTTTCTTATTGATTCACAAGAGCTCTTTATATATTCTGGATATGAGTTCTTTATGAGAGAGACACAGACAGAGTCAGAGAGAGGGGGATGTGCGGTTGTCTTCTCCACTGTGTGGCTTCCTTTTTGAGTGCTTGAAATAATATCTTTCGATGAATAGGAGTGTTTCTTTTTTTTTTAATTTTAAAATTTTATTTATTTATTTATTTATGGCTGTGTTGGGTCTTCGTTGCTGCATGCAGGCCTTCTCTAGCTGCAGCGAGCGGGGGCCACTCTTCCTTGCGGTATGAGGGCTTCTCATTGCAGTGGCTTCTCTTGCTGCGGAGCACAGGCTCTGGGAGCACAGGCTTCAGTAGTTGTGGCACGTGGGCCCAGTAGTTGTGGCTCACGGGCTCTAGAGCACAGGCTCCGCAGTTGTGGCACACGGGCTTAGTTGCCCTGTGGCATGTGGGATCTTTCTGGACCAGGGCTCGAACCCGTGCCTCCTGCATTGGCAGGCGGACTCTCAACCACTGCGCCACCAGGGAAGTCCCTGAATAGGAGTTTTGGACAAAATCCAAGTTATCAATTTTTCCTGTAAGATTGAAGCTTTTTGTGACCTGTTTAAAATATCTTTGCCTATTTCAAGGCCACAGGATGTTCACTTATATTTTCTTCTAAAGGCTTTATTATTGGACATTTCATATTTAGATTTGCAATCCACCTACAGTAGATTTTGGTGTGTAGCATGAGGTTGGGTCAAGATTAATTTTTTCCCACCAAGGATATTTAACTTGTCGGGCTGATTTACTGAAAGACCGCTCTTTC